AAATTAAAAAGTTACGTTGGAAAAGAATAAAAAAGCTCCGCAATGCCACATTAGTTGCGGTTTAATGACGGAGAATGACAGTATAGAAGTTTATTATACCCTCTCTGTCTTGAATAGAAAATCACTATTTTATATATATATATCATTCATTTGTATACCCACCACTACCAAGGGTGAAATTTTCAACGGGCTCTATAATTTTCGTATCTTGCGTGATTCTCAGTTTGATTTTGTCAGCTGCCTCGGTAAGTTTGTTAGTTCGCTCGAGACAGAAAATGCATTCAATAAGCACATTTGAATGAACATCATGTCATCGTATCATATATAGTAGTATAGTAGTCTCCCTTTTATATGACTTTTGGACCGGGTCATCCTTATTAATTCAAATAACATGGCCAAGCCTGCATAGTCGTTAAGTTCGATCATTATTAGTTCGGTGCGCAAAAGGAACTAGTTTCACAGATCCGTTTAGTTCAATCGTTCATTGGTACCCGTTGAGTAATTCGGTCAACGAAAAGGAAGATATTGATGACAGATTGTATCAAAAGGAAAAAATATTGAAGCAAAAGGAACGAGATGAACGAAATAACCAGATCTAGTTTCAATGACTCCGTTCGGAATTTTTTTTCTTTGGACTGGTTCGTTTCGGAACCATCCAACTCTAGATGGTAGTTCATTCGACACCTCATCTGCTTGCGCAATTATCCATTCTCAGATCTGTTTCTAAACTGCTTAGTTTGATCAAAATTTCATCTTTTGTTCAATAATACCCTTCATCGAATCTGAAAACTTAGGTTAATTGTTTTTTTTTATAAAATCTTTGATTGCCTCAAAGCTGTAATTTTCAAATTGTGCAGTTGGCCGAGTCTAGTGGACCTCTTGCGAGTTGCAATTTATTCAATGGTAACAGTTACGCACTCGCACTGTTAGTTCGGCATAAAAAGTCTCGAAGCCTTTTTAGCCGAACAAACAGTGCGATGGTGGGGTATTGGGGCAATTTTACAGGAATGTCGAACTCAGAAATACCTTTATATACCTTTAAGCGGCTAGGGATGTGGAATGTCGAAAGTGGACGACGTGCCTTTCTTGGGTGTTTTCTAGTATTTCTTTCTAGTATATTAGACGCAGTGTGAATACCGGGTCTGTAGTGGATTTTCCAGGTCTGAAGCCGCATTGGTGTCGTCCAATAATGTCATTGGCGTTGGCATTCAGTAGTTCATACTGCACCCTGGATAGCACCTTATATGCCATGGGTAGAAGAGTAATTCCCCAATAATTGACACATAACATCTTGTCTCTCATTGTTTGTTCGGGACATAGGGAAATGAAGTTCCAATCATTGTCATGGTACATTACTTTACACAAATTGTACAAATCAGCTGATCATCATACAGCAGCATTTGACCAATGGACTTGAAAAGTTGCGCTGGTAAACGCTCGGTACCTGATGCTTTATTATACTTGAGTCGATTTAATTGCTATTCTGGCATCATGTTGGCTAGTTGTATTAAACACTTTATACATGTGCAGCATATTTTTTCATAAATGACCATGTTTCGATATAGCACCTCATATAAATGTTCCCACACTTTCTCGGTATATTCCAATCGAAGGGCTGTATGTTGACATTTAAAGTTATTGGATGCCGGATTCAAGATCCAACGTTTCAACAAATGCTGGAGAGGGTATTTCGTTCGGAGGTCCAAAAAGCGCCACCTTAACTGTGCTATCCCTTGATTGATTGGTTGATCCTATCCGTTATATGTGTGAAATGACGTATACATTTCTTGTACTGTGCTATGCTGCTTCCTTATTTATATTAGTGTTGTTGTCGACAAATTGAAAACTTTGATTAGGAACGTAGACAACATCACCGTCAGGATGAAGCGCCTTCAATGATTTTGCTCTTCTGATGATCAATATTAGTGGTTCCTCTTCCACCTAAAGGGATCGTCGCTTTTGTTGGGGTTGTCTATGAATTGCTTGTTAAAATAACATCGGCAACTAAACACCGTCAAATCAGATAGATCTTCGTTTATCCTTTGCTCCTGGGCTCGACATCGACTTAACCGTTACCCACAATTTACTCACTCTGGTACCGATGTTTAAACACTTCAGATATTCTAGCCACTTTTAGTTTTAGATCTCCTATTCTGTATGTTACTTCTGCAGGAAAATTAGCTCTCAATTCGGGTATTCGACCCGCAGTTATATAGCAAGCCACTGCAATGACCCGGAAATCATTTTCAGTTTCCAAACATCAGAATAATTGACGAATTCTCTGAAGCGACGATTGGTAACATGTCTGATTTTTTGCCAATTGACTTTCTTGGGGTTATGTAAAAGCCGGCGTTCAGAGGTTACGAAGTCATGTGGTCTATTGATAGATATTATAATAGGATGGTGGTCCGACCCCATTTCATTTGGGTCTGATTAAAAAGTTATTTCATTCGATGTTACTTCATTAGCAGCTTCCTTATCCTGGTGCAAAATCCTCCAATCTAAAGTCTGGTCGTTCCTAATCCATCTGAAGAGATATTCTCTATAGGAGTTGTCCATGACTTTCCGGTTAAAATAACTCCCCTCTTTGGATTTGATCACTTCAGATATTTTTGCCACTTTTTCCGCTTATGCTCGCCGGCTAATCTGTTGGCATCCAGAGTGAGATGCCTGATTTTGGGGTTAGTTTGCCACTTCGGCTGAAAAGTTAGGTTGGATATTCGTCTTGTAGATATATAGCGATCGGCTGCAGTTGACCCTGAAATATCGTTCTGCTTCTTGAGCAACAGAAAGATTACAAGTTCTATTGATGAATATGATAAGAGGACGATGGTTTGGCCCCAATGAAATGACGGGTTGCCAAGTTACGCCATTTGTCAGATCGGCAGACATGGTGGATATGTCTGTCTTCACCTAACCTGGTGTGTAAGTCATCAATCAAAACGTTGAGCTATCTATTCGCTCGGTCAGTGCCATACCTCACTGGTATGGCGCCGGAATGCCACACTAGACTATATAGGACTGTTAAATCTCCACCTTTGCCACAATACCTACTTAAAACATTGTATCGGTGACAACCCTAAAGACAGCATGTGTTATTCAGCTTCGTTTTTTCTTCGATTCATAAAATCCAATATCTCATTGAGTTTTCCATTCACTTGCCGGTTCTATGTACTGGACTCGGAGGAACAATTCTCCGACCAAGGGCCGTTCAGCGATTGTTCCATTGTAGAGAACCTGCAAATATTAGTTCTAATGGTAGTATATTTGGCTATGAAGCTGCGCAGATGATATAATCTGTGGGTGACCAATCTCGAACTGTTTGGAGTTCCACTGGAAATGGCTTCGGTTATGAACCAGGAGAGGGTTTCGGTAGCACTCGTGCGCCCCTAGGTCTGCGGCAGTTGGCCAGGAAGTTTGTATTGGCAATTCGGGGAGCATCGTGCTGGAGGTGGTTTATACTTAAATTGCAGTTAGAGTTTCGGGTGTCTGACCCATAGAAAGGAGTTTTAGATGAGCTCCGCTTATCATCCAAGGAAGTAATAACGTCCACCTCCTTGGTGTGGGGATGTTAATTCACAATTCGTATTAACTGGTGTTTACAGCACCGTGGTGTAAGACTGCAAGGTCTCACCTTCCCACCTTCCATCTCTCTAAGCATCTCCGATTTCCCTCAGCCTCACTTTAGCAATAGTTTTTGGACTGAAATAACATTTTATCTACCCTCTCTACCCATCCCATTAAATTCCCCTCCCATGATAAATAAAATAAATATTTTGTTTTTAGTTTTAAAATTTTAGCAGTTTTAAAAAATTTTATTTTTTAATTAATTTTCATTATTTTTTCTTGTATATCAATTTTTTGAATTTTCTTTTCTTGTTGTTTTTATCACTTTGTATTGTTCACATTGTTGTTTTAGAGGACTTAAGGACTACGTGTAATTATCAAATTAACAATTATTATTGTATTCTTCTCGATTGCCTTTTTAAGGAAGACTTTTCTTTCATTGTTAAGCAATTATTGTTTATCAGGTCATTAAAGCCATATTTGTTAAAAAAAATAATTATATTTATAAAAATTAATAATTATTATTTTTGTGTGTATATATATGTTTGTATATAAAAAACATGTAAAAAACTTTATACAACCACCATGTGGTTAAGTGTGAAGAAAATGGTTTTGTTTTTTAATTAAATTATTTATTTCTATATAGAACTATAATACTTAATACTCTTGTAACTGTAACATCATACATGTTGTGTGTGAGTGTATGTGTGATGATAATGATGTGTGTGTATTTTTTTCTTCTTGGTGAGGTAGTTAAGTTCCATGATGACATGTAGCTCCAAAGAAAGGATTTTTTTTAGATTTTCTGTTGAGTCTGTTTTCTTTTTTTTTTTTTTGTAAGGAATGAGAAACTTGGACTCTATTTTAGCAATATACTCTTCTGATGGGGTATAGTAAAGAGCCGTTGTCCCCTCGCACCTCCTTATCCAGCAGCTCAAACAGCAAAGTGCAACGACGAAACGAGAGAAGACGATTCAAACACCTATGCCACATTTCCCCCATATCCCCGCCGCCATGTAAACGAAGAATGGTTTGTAATGGAAAACGTTGAAGTGTGTGTGTGTACGTACGATGTGTTGTGAAGTAGTAGTGGTGGTGGTAGTAGAAACCTTATATTATCCCTGGATCAGCTAGTTTGGTATTAATGGGCCCCTTTGGCCCCCCGCGATTTTTGTACTCCATTTTGTTTGTTTTTTTAGTTTTGTTTTGTGTTTTTCTTTGTTTAGCCGTTTTGGCCTTGGCAAAAATTAGATTTCCCTATTATCCGGATTTTTGCTCTGTTCAAATGACAACAGATGTCCATCGCGCCATCGGTATCATCATTTGAGCCTTGGCTATCCATCTCTTTTGATGCAAAAGACAAACTGTTTCAGTCTCTTTCGAGTTAAGCAGTGACTCTCCTATCAATGTCTCGTGTGTGAACCAAAAGGGAATTGGCCACTTCACCATGGACGCCAGACGGGTTCTTCTTCTTTGATTTGTTTTTTGGTCACCAGGGAGAGGGGTTGTTGCATTTGCTGCTGGGCAGCTGGGGCATGATGAATCACCGAGGGTTTGTAGTCCATGGCTTCATGGGAGTTGGCAGGGCTGGGTGGGGCAAAGTGCATCATGTGGTTGGGTTGAGGTTGACTGTAGACATGTTCATAGGTCGATTGAGAGCTGTGGGATGAGGCGGAGCCAGTTGAGGCAGTACGGCTGGGAATGGGTACCAACATGGGTGGTTGAGCTGGTTGTTGTTGTTGCTGGAGATGATGAACTTGGTTGGGTTGTTGAGGAGGCAAGACCAAAGCAATGCTGCCATTTGGCAATTTGGTGGGGATAACCTGCAGACCATTGGGTAGGAAGTAGCCATGAGGGGTTTGTTGAATCTGAGAGCTCATAATATATTGCTGTTGTTGATGTTGGTGATGATCCTGTTCGGGCGATGAGGGTGGTGAAGGCAAGATTTGTCCATGCAATTGTTGTACAGCGGCGGCTTGTTGCTGACGTTGTTGGGCGTGCATTTCGGTCTTAACGCCGTTGATGCAATTTTGCAAATGTTGCAGCAGGCGACGTTTGACGGAGGGTTCCAAGCCGGGAAAACGTGACACTTCATTGGCACAGTCGGTGAAACCGGCCTTGAATTTGTTGATGATTTTTGGATCGGCAGCCTGTTGCATGGCGGCCTGTTGACGTTGCAATTCTTGCAAATGTTTGACAGTCTTTTCCAAGATGTCGGCCTTTTCCAATTTGGAGTGACGAGCCGGCTATAAGGAGAAAGAAAAAAGAAGAGGAAAATTAGAACGGTTTGGTTATAGAGAAAATAATTGTTTGTTTTTTATAATTTTTTAAGAATTTCAGAAATTTTAAAAAATAAACTTTTTTGTTTGAAAATTTCAGATTTTTTTTAGAAAATTATGAAATTCCTTTTTTATTTTATTTTGTATATATATTTTTTTAATTTTTTAAAATACTTACGTCTTTCTTGGTAGCATCCAAAATCAAGGTTTTCAATTCATTTAAACAGTTATTAATGCGGGCACGTCGTCTTTTTTCCATAATTGGTTTGTTAGACTATAAAGATATATAAATAAAAAAATTTAAATTAGTTATGAAATTTTTAAAAATAAAAAAAATGTTTTTAAATAAAAAAATATATTGTTTTGAAAAAATATTTTGAAATCTTTTTTTTTTTGTAAAAAAAAATATATATTTTTTTTTTAATTTTTATTTTTTTTTAGAAAATTTTTGAAAAAAATAATTTTAAAAATTTAAATTTCAAATATATTTTTTTAATAATTTATTTTTTATTGATTTTTCAAAATATTTTTTTTATTCATATTCAAAATATTTGTGATCAAAATTTTGACCCCATGCTAACATTTCCTCATCGTTGTGGTTGTATAAATCATTTCCCTCTTTATTTTTTTCGTTCACATTTTTCATCATCTTCTTCTTCTTGCATTCTAAAATAATTTTCCTTAGACATGCGTGTCTGTGTGTGTGTATGTGCGTGTTTATTTTTTATTTAGTCTTATAACTAAATTAAGCATTAAGCACATATATAAAAAATAAAATACACAAAAATATATATAGACTATAGTATTTTTAAAAATATCTTTAAAGGTGAGGATTTTTTTTTTTTGGTCTGGGGGTGCTGCCTCGGTCGGCACACGCTAGCCAGCGAGCGATCGCTCTTTAATTGGTAAAGCAAAACAATTATGGCATTTGGCCAATAAGCGCAAAAAATTTTTGCTGCTGTTGGATCGCGTGCGATATTTTTGGTACATTGTAGAACAGAATTCATCCTCCCCCCACCACACCTCTTCTCCTTTGGCCTTCTTCTTCGTTCGTCGCTAAAATTAGGAAGTCTAAAACAAAATTACACCCAAATTGTGGGTGGCGAAGCGGCATGGGGCGGGGGCATTAAATTCAGAACATAAAGAAAAATACCTTTGGCTATTTTCATACAGAGACTGTCATTATTGGCATGTGATGTTTTGTTGTTTTGGCCATTTTGCCTGCCTCTACGTTCTTATATGAATAGTCTTCGTTGTCCCACAAGGTCGTCGTCGTTTAAGAAAAATGTGGTGCTGCTGTTGTTGTTTTTGGCACAAGTCTAAGGCAACCATATAGGGAGATTTTTGTATGCCGTTTTTTGTTTTGGCCCCTTATGAGTAGCGAACGCCACCACAATTGTTTTTCTGTGTGGTCATGTGTTTGTCCACCAGCCACAGAGCGGCGAGCATATGGCTGGCTGACTGGCTGTGAAGTCATCGCCATTATTTTAAATGTTGGCGTTAAGTGAGTGATATGGCCAAAAATCGACAAATACCAATTAACAAAATTACATTGCCGTTTTTGAAAAATGGAAAACCAAAAAATGGTAACAATGCGTTGGCCACGTTACTTTGGAGATTGCTGCTGCTGATGGTGGTGGCGGCAGCCCATAAATGTAGGCAATGACGCCCTCCACTCACATCTGGATTTGGACTTTGATTTGATTATTTTTATGAATGAAATTTTGCTATGAATCAGCCAAAGCTGTTGTTGTTGTTTTTGGATTTTGATTTCAATACGATTTTTATGGAAGTGACTGCCCCACACATTTTTCGAAAAAAAAAAAATAAAGTGGCGTGTGTTTGTGTTTCGCCAACATTTTCCGAATATGAATGAATGCGCCGCAAAAAAATGCGTTGGCTGGAAATGTATGGCGGCGGCGGAAAGCCAAGTTTGGGTTCAACCACTTTTACAAAACAACGAATTCAAATGGAAAATGCGTTACTACAACCATTTATGAATGGGGAAAAATTATTGTGGGCCGATGGCCAAAACTTAGTTAAATAATGCGACGTTTTAAGATATAAATTCTAGTAGGTGTTTTTTTAAATACTTACACGACGATCACTTTTGGCTGGTGCCTCTTTGGTGGCACGGGGTACTGGGGCTCCAATAACATTGGCGGTCATGGTTGGTCCACAAACACCGGTAACCATATTGACTGTTTTGTTTATTTTAAATTTATCACAATTGGTATTTTTAATTTTTTATAATTTTTTTCTTTTGTTGTTCTTCTTGCTTGGCAAGTTCTTTTCTTTCACTTTTTCTTTATAATTATTCTTTAGTATTAGTTGTTTGTTTTTATTTTTATTCAAACACTTTGAATTTTTGGTTTATCACAAAGTTCCGTTTTTGTTAAACGTATATTTTCCGTTCCGTATTTTTTCTTTAATTTTTGCGTTCCGTAAGAAGTCTTTCGGTGTTGCTTCTTCAACGATCAACGAACGTATGAAACAAGTGTTCACTCGGCAGGCTGATAAAAATGACTTGTGAGGTGGTGCAGCAGCGTTGTGTGTGCTGTTTTGTTGTTGACTAGGTTAGTTGGTCGACTGAGAGACAGTGAGAGTATATCATAAATCACACAATTCAATTGAGTGTGTGAGCGACCGACCGAGAGCAGAGATCACAAAAGAGCGCGTGCAAAAAAAAAAAATATAAATATGAACCGTTGTGTTGTTCTTATCTTTGATTTCCGTTAAAAACAGTTCTTTTTCTTTTTCGTGTTCTACGAATATTCCAAAGAGCTCTTTATCGTTTGGCTTGTAGCAGACGACTGACGATTGATCGACAGCTTCGTTGGGTAAATCGTTTTAACGAGACGCGGCGCACACTGTAATAAGCAGCAACAAAAACAACAAGCCACACGACCATATAAAAATACCACACACCAAAAACAATGCCGACCGACCAAACGACGAACAACGGCACACATTCAACCAACCAATCATGTGTGTATGCTTGTGTGTACGTATGTTTATCAAGCTGTTGCTGCGGTCTCTGCTGCCTGTGTTCTTCGTTGTTGTTGGCTGATGACGAACGACTATGTACACGACAACGTTGTCGGTGGTGTTGGTAATGACAACGATGACTACCTGGTTACCCACGTACTACTCTTGTGAGTTCTATCACCACCTCGCACACACATATCACAACAGCAACAATCATTCAAGTCAAATAATAATAACAACAACAAACATATTGCATTGTTTGTACTTCACTCTTGTGTTTGCTGTGCTGTGCTGTTATGCCTTTTGCATGCAGTGATTTGACCCATCATCATCATTCCAGCACTTATGGTTATGGTTTTACTTGTGGGCTTTGTGTAATAGTGTGTAAACAACGTGAATTGTTGAGATTGAAATTACTATGTAAGGATTCACAGGATAAAGAGAGAAAGTTTATTTAATTCTTATTTTAATATTAAATAAATCATTACAGAAGAGTGGATTTTTATACCCTACACAACCATGTTGTCAGGGTATTATAGCTTTGTGCAGCCCGAAGAGTTTTTAACGTCGTTGTCCTAAAACCACATTTATGTATACCGATCGTAATATCTCGATTAGCTGAGTCGATCTAGACATGTGTGTCCGTCTGACTAGTATAATTTGTAAACACGATACACGCCACAGTTACGGACCAATCTTCACGAAATTTTGCATGTAGGATGGGTTCTGCCCAATTATATTATTTAGGGGATGAAATGGACCAAAAACTTTATTTTTGTCTGATTTTCTATTCTCTCAAGAGGCGAATTTTTATATGAAGAAGGGAATCGGGCCAAAGAATAAGCATGCCGATTTTGATAAAGATCGGTCAATATTTAGTGGGTCAAATGGACCCTGACTTTTGTGTGAAGAATGACAAAATTTTTATTCTATAGCGTATATATTTACCCCTGAAAGACATAGACCCAAGAAGTTAATATTATATCCAAGAGGAGTGCTTGACCTTAAAATTAACACCAATTATATTGTATTCGGATGTGGAAGTTACACTTACATATTTACATGTTCTTACGTATTTTTACGTATTTAGTAACCCATTGCCACACTAGAGGACGGAAATATAGCGCTGATCGCTTCGAAATTTTCAATGAAGTTCCGGTTATGGCCAAGGACAACGCCTATAATTTTCGGCGATAATCAGATAATAAGTAGAAGTAGACCGAAAACTTACTTTTTTGGAATTTTTTCGAGTCGACCTATAAGCCACAGAACCCACGGTGAAGGGAATATTGGAATGCAATTAGTAATATTTGTATTTAGTAATATTTATTGTCAAGTCGGTTAAGAGGGTGCAACTATCACGAAATGTTGCTTAGGCTCGGAATAAAAATCCGCAAAAAGTTAGAGTTCCGAGGTAGTTGTGTAGGGTATCGTATGGTCGGTCCCGTCCGACTATACTGCTCCGTTCACTGATTTTTAAATATTATTTTCGAGGAATTTTCTTGGCGTGAATTTTCGAAAAAAACGGGTCTATTCAAAGGCGCTACATAAGAGTGGATTTTTAAGAGATTATTTTTGTTAGGAAACTTCAAAAATGTGGATTTTCAATTATTTTCAGGATTGTACTTAAGCCTGGGGTTTGTAAAAAATGTCTTGTTTGCAGGTCCAATATAATCCTGTATTTTTATTCAAGAAGTATTTACGTTAACATTTATTTCGATGCTCTTATAGGTAGGCTTGGATTTTTATAAATATTTTTTTCCAAGCACCCAATATAGAAGCCCGAAATAACAATAATAATTGTTTAATGTTTCTATATTTTTTAAGCTTTCTATAGGCTATATCTTTACCTTATAATATGGCAACCTTATATGCTTTCAATGTTTATATAATACTCTCCCTCAAAGGGCCAATACTCTGTTAACGCAGATACTTGTATTATTATATATGGAGACATGGGAGCATCATCAACATGTCACTGTTACTTTCGCCGACTATCGGACAGTCATGCACCATGGCTTACAAAAGCATTGAAATTTTGCAACATACGCACACACACACTCATATATATATATATACACACCCATTTACCTTTACCATGCCATTATTAAAATGCATATGCCCTTAAAAACAACAACAAAACGAAGAAATACTCCCCAACACTTGATGCGTTACTGCCATGAACAACAGCGCTGTTGACGCCACCGTCATTATTGTTGTTGTTGTTGTTACTGTTGCCTTCCTCTTCGCCGACAGAATGTCAGCGATAAGAAGCAAATGCAGCGGCCAGAGTCTAAACAAAAATCTCAGTGTGTGATTCATGTCTCAAGTGGTGAGGCGAACGTGACTATATGTGTCAATTTATTTATTTGTTATTGTTGTTGTCGTTGGTGTGTGCCCCCTTAGCAATAATAATCGTTCGAACGAGCAAAGCAAACGAACACACGTAGTAGTTGGAGCAATCGTTGTCGTCGAGTCGAATAACAGCAACAACAACACCAACAACTGAAACAAGAGCAGTAAACAGCAAGAACAAAACCAACCACCCAGGCGAATGAGCGATAAGCCAGACGACATACAAATAATTATGGAGACAACGGCACGACACATTCGTTTGTTCGTTTTTTTTTCTTACGTACGCACATGCATTGCCATTACTGACGTCGGGGGAGCACACAAGAATCGTGCTTAAGTCATAGACAATATAGACTTCTTCTGGAAGTGTTGTTTTTTTTTTTTTGCGTACTTTCATACCCAAATAGTGTTGACATAGTTGAACTACTCTCACCGTCATCATCGGAAGATGTAGTCAGAGAATTCATTAATTTCATAATACGCGATTTAATAATCGTCATACTTCGTAAGTCGGCTATCATTTCATAGAATTGAAAATTAATCAACCGGACATGGCCTATATTGGCGGTAGAGCACGTAGTCTCTCTCATCCAATGACATGCATTAATTTAATGCGGTGGGGAGAAATATGCAAACATTAAGAAGGGATTTTTGAAGTATATTTTCTAAAGACTATCCCAAATATAAGTCCTGATTTTAGGATTTTTTTTACTAAAAATTACACCCATAAGTGTCGATTTTTTAATATTTCTCCAAAGAGTGGATGTTTGAAAAATATCTTTCCAAGATTATTTCGACTATAATTGAGATGATTTTGCATTTATTCTAATGGTTATGGTTCATTTCACTGTCGCAGTCTGATAATCCAATTGGCCGGCCATCAGCCAATGGCAGTAAAAAAATACATTAACAGTTATTTTTGTGGTCTAGGGGAAATCCCACCGTTATATCGAAATATAATCTTGTGGTATTATTAATAAAGTAAAATGACAAACAAGCAACTGCTATCAAAAATTATTTTTTTTATAAATTTTACAGTCAGGGAAATTAAATTGAAATTCATTGAAATTGAAATTCATACATAAATATTTCTATAAAATTTTATTTTAAATAAATCCCGCTTTCTGGCTTGATTAATATATGTTTCAAAATATGTTTCTTCTGATTTTGACTTGTAAAAAAATTGTTTCAAAAAAAATCTTCCTTCGAACTTCATGGATTTTTTTAAATAATTTTTTTAAAATCCAAGCCTAGAAATAGGCTTGGATTTTTATACCCTACACCACTATGTTTTTATACCCTACACCAAGCCTAGAAATGACCCGAAAAAAATTATTTAAAAAAAATCCATGAAGTTCGAAGGAAGATTTTTTTTGAAACAATTTTTTTACAAGTCAAAATCAGAAGAAACATATTTTTAATCAAGCCAGAAAACGGGATTGATTAAAAATAAAATTTTATAGAAATAGTTTGTAACGCCGCGAAATATTGGTCCTAGACCCACCTTTAAGTATACCAATGGTCATATCTCGACTAGCTGAGTCGATCTAGACATGTGTGTTCGTCCGTCGGTCTGTCCATTATAATTTGTAAACACGATACAGGCCACATTTATTTATTTATTTTATGGGTTTAGGCCCCTATTGTTTTTTAGAAAGATCGGTTAATATTTAGGGGATGAAATGGACCAAATACTATTTTTTTCGGTTTTTCTGGTCGCTCCAGAGGCCGCAATAATGGCCCGAACATCGTTAAATTTTGCATGGAGAAGGGGATCGGGCCAAAGAATAAACATGCCTGTTTTGATAAAGATCGGTCGGATTTAGCGGGTCAAATGGACCCTGACTTTTGTGTGAAAAATGCAAAATTTGTATTCTATAG